CACACACACACACTCTTTGAACCAAACAAGGTCCCTGCCTTCAACAGGGCCTATCTGGTGATGATGCGGGTACACAGGAGACAAACAGGGTGTGGAGGAGAGGGAGCACAGGATGGGGGAGACGAGCCTATTCTGGAGCAGACACAGGTGCCCCCCCAAGCACACAAGAACAGGTAGAGATAATCTGGGCAGCAGGAGGCGGACAGGAGGGCGAACCCCTCACCCTTCCAGATCAAGGTGACTAGCTGGCCCTGCTGGGTATGGGACCACGTGTGGCTGAACTCCACCCAGACCATAGGCAGCTCCTTCTAGAAGAAAACCACCCCAAGTATAGAAGGCAGCCCTTGGGCAGGCGGGAAGAGCTGGACACACACTGGAAGCCTTCACCGTGGAGCAGAGCCAGGTGTCACCCCGCCTTGCGCACACTGGGGATGCTTTTGTTTACACATCTCTCACCATCAACAGGGTCCTGGCAAAGGGAAATGCTCCCTAGTGGGACATTTGAGACAAAGAAAATGAAAATGCAACTCCAGAGAGAAGCACTACTGCCACTAACGGAATCCTGCGAGGTGCCAAGCCTGAGCCAGGCCATTTACTGTGGCGTCCTTGGCCTTGTGACCAGCCTTGCAGGTGATGCTCAGAAAGGCCCTGGCAGAGGCTGCCCCTGGGCATGGGTGATGGAGACAGGGTTCAGATGTGAGCTTCATGGCTTGGCCCAGAGTCTGCAGCTTAGCTTGGCTCAATACCACTGGCATTGACTACTGCCTTTCCCCTACTCCTTACCTCCCTTTCCAATTAATTCTGTGTCTTTTTAAAGTAAGAACTCCCAGGTGGGCCTCCACCTGACTCCTTGAACTGTCTTACCCACTTTACTTTCAAGACAGAATCCTGGGTCAAAAATGGCCCCATGCAGGGCCAGGTGGTCCTCCCCACTGCACAGATGGGAAGGCTGAGGTCCAGGAGAAGCAAAAAGTTACCCAAGGGCACAGTGATGGGACATCTCAAGCTATGACCAGAGACCCGGCCAACAGCCTCCACTAGGCCCAGCCCATGGCCTCCACTGCCACCTCCTCCCCTGTGGTCTGCTCTGAGTGCTCTGGACTGCATGGGGAGGGAGGAAGAAAGGCCCTTGCAGAGCACGGGAGGTACCCTGGGACCTCGGAAGGATCATTAGTTGACTCAAGGCTTGGACCTGAGTCCTCTGTGGCTCAAAAAGCAGCTAATGAAGCCCCAGGGTCTAGGGATCCAACACAAGTATGTTCAGGCCTACGACATCAAAATGATCCAAAGCAAGTCATCAGCCATAACTGGAAGGTCAAGAGGCCAACATTGGTCCTGCCTTTGCTCTCCATGTGGCACCAGGAGAGGTGAGCAAACAGCAGAGGAAGAGAAGTCTCTATTTGGAAATGAGTTCTAGCTGATAAATGAGGAAGAAATGATAATGTTGGGCCACCAATGCTTTGCAAGCACTGAAGAATGAGTGGTTTGAGAATATGGTCACCGATGGTCTCTCACACAAGAGACACAAAGACATTGCCTATGAACAGTCATGCCAAAAAACAATGGTACCTGACCATTTTCAAGCCTCTGGAGTCAAGTCCTCACTCACAGGAAATGCAGGGAACAGAGAGCAGGTTAAACCACATGGTGAGGGTACAGTCTACAAAGTACAGTCAGCAGGAAGTCCTATAGGACAAATGACCCAGTGTCTTCAGCAAACAAATTCCAAGGAAAAAAAGAAAAGAAGAAAAGGCAATCCCCCAATGGCAGTTGTGGACATTTGTTTAGACCTCATCCAAACACACAAACTATACAATGTACACATGTAAGTGGCACAAAGTGGAAATCAGAACACTCCTCCAGCATCTGACGATACAAGGTGAGCATCCCTAACTCAAAAATTAAAATCCAAAATCTGAAACTTTTTGAGCACTGCATGTAATGCTCAGAAAATGTTAGATTTCGGAACATTGTGGATTTTGAGATGAGGAATGCTCAACTGGTAAAAAGTAAATGCAAATACTCCCAAATACAAAAATCTCTGAAGTCTGAAACACTTTCGGTCCTAAGCATGTCACTTAAGGGACACTCCATCAGTACTAATGACTTGAAGATACTGATATTGTGGTTATTTTTTAATAAACCCTTACCTGCTAGAAACGTTTACGGATGAACTGCTGGGGGGTTGGTACGGGAGTGACTGGTCTGGCGATGACTGAAGGCTGTTAGTGGAAAGGAGGAATACGGGGAGCTCACCAGACTCTAGTCTCTACTCTTGGGGTGTCTATCACTGAGGACATCACAGCCTGGCCTCCAGTGGAACCCGCAGGGTGGGCTCTGTTGATACTCTCGGTCCCATTCTTCAACACTTCCTCCTGTGGGCCCCTCGGAAACCTACCACGACCACCCACCACCATGTGATGCCCATGCTATCTCACCCCCTCCACAGGTGCCTAGCTCTGCCTGCACTGTCCCCTTGCCCTGTTCCTCAGGGGCCCTGAGCAGTTGGGCAGCCCCCTCCTAACTCCCCAGGCCTGATCTCTTTCCCCACTCACTGGGAGGTGCTTCCTGGGAGCAACGGCCAAGTTCAAGTGCTCCCCAGATCCCCAGAGCCAGCAAAGAGCCTGGCCCAGCACCAGGTCTTTCTGGGAGAAAACCCCTAATGCTGATCATAGTGAGGCTTGCTACCTTGAACACGCTACTCAATACCACATCACCCGCCTATGTGATGGCGACTGGCCCACCACTCTGAGCCTCAGTTCCTCATCTACCTACCCTATCTTCAGGACTGTCGTGAAAACTACAGTAGATGGCCTTGGAGGGTGTGCACAAGGAGCACCCTCCTTGTGCACGTCAATCTGGAAACCTCAGGGCAAGGAGAGGGCTGAGACCACCTGGACAATCTCCTTCCTAGAGGAGCAAGGAAAGCCGGAGGCCACCCACCTGTGTGCATGGGACCAGGAGGCCCTGGTTGGGCTGCCAGTGAGGAGGGTTATGTGGGATGTAGAGCCTCCCCTACAGGTCCTGGGAAGGGTCACAGAAGGGCCCTGCTGGGTGTGCTACAGAGCACACTGGTGTGGTTTTCCTGCGGACACTCATCCAGACCCAAAGGCTGATTTCTAGTCCCCCTGGGCCTGGGCTGTTTGAGAGAGGAGAGGGCCAAGGGTTCAGAGCCCAGGGAAGGTGCCATCGCTCAGACCCTATGTCTGAGCATGGGAAAGTGTATGTGCAGAATGGGGGATGGGGAGGGGGCTTTTCAGCTGTCTCTCTGCGACCCCGAGGTCCACTCCCAGCACTTCTGAGCAAGGCTGGGCTGTAGGGTAAGGGACTGCAGGGGGTTCCCATCACGTGAGGTGTGTGAGGTGAGGTAGAGGCCTTTCTAACACAGTCTTCAAACCTAGTGGGCTCTTGGTTGTGAGCATTTGAGATGCCTCTGGTCTCAGCTTCTGACTCCAGGAGACTCAGGTTCCCCCAGTCTCAGATGCGATGACTGGAAGAGGCTGAGAAGGCTATGTACTCTCCCCAAGTCCTTGGGAGAGCTGGGCCCTGTAAGCTCGCCACCTAGAGACCATGATGCTGATGCTCCTAGACCTCTAGCTCCCCCGCTACAGGGTGAGGACTAAATGTCAGCTTTGGACTGTCTGAGCCTGGTGATGGTGGAGGAGAATGCACTGTGCCTGCTCGGGGATAACAAAGCCAGACCTGGCACCTGAATATCCCTCCAGCCCACGCCATCTGGTGCCATCAGCACCAGCCTGCTATGTTGCCTCAGGCAACTGCCTTCACCTCTCTGAGCCTTCGGTTCCTGCTCAGTTAGCAGGTTCTACTAACCCCTCCTCAGAATGTAGAGTCCATGAGTGTACATCTCCAGTCACTGGAATGGTAACAGGACCACCAGAGGGGTGCCTGGGGTTCCAGCTTTGTGATGCTCAAGTGCTTTTCTAACTTTAGTTATTCAGCCTTCACAACGTCCTGTGAGGGAGGCAGGACGTCCCGAATGCCAGGCAGGAATCTTTCAGAGGCTGCCCAGGGCCTCATAGCTGGTCAGCGGCACAGCAGGACCAGAACCCTTCCTGCTATAAACGCTGGTGCTCTGCTGCTCTGGGAGGAGGCTTGGAAACAGTTTGCATCCTACAGTTGCTCATGGTTTCCATTTCTGCACTCTGGGGACAGAGCTGGGCCACTGCTGCTCTTCTGGGTGGGACAGTTGGATTTTTTTTTCCTGGAACCTCCTCCCAGAAACCCCTCCAGGACTAGCTGAGGGCAGTGGTTGGGGGCCAGGTTGGAGAGGGGTGTGGGGAGGAAGCAGAGACTCCTGAGCCACAGGGGTGCAGGCTGGGGTCTCTGGATGCTGTGAGGGAGATGCAGCTGTCAAAGGGAAGCTCCAGCCCAGCTGGAGACCCTGAAGCTGGGTCACTCCCAAACAAAACCACAAGTATGGCCTCTTCCATCTCTGGGAGGGAAGCAATCCTAGAGGAGCTTGGGCCCTTGGGTGCAGGGACACATCTCCCTACCCCATCCCAGGGGGCCAGTGTGGTTGGGGTCAAAGGTGAATGGGTTCAGAGCTTGTTCTATCCCTGCCCCTGGTTGGAGGCCTCCTCCTTTGGGCCTCCAGATGTCTCTGTCCAAAACTGAGTGAGTACAAGAGATGCTGAGGGGACAGAGCTATGAAGTGACAGTGGGGCACTAAGGTGATGTGACCTTGAGGCTCATCAGTGCGAATGTCAGTCTTATGCAGTCACGGATTTAACAATCCCAGAAGGGCAGGGCTGAAAGGGACTTCACAAAACTGGGCTGCTCCCTCTGGAAGGTCTGGGGCCCGGACAGGGTCAGGGGCTGTCTGAGCCAAGCCCTAGCCTGGCCCATCCTACCCCTAAGCCACTCCCATGTCCCATCTGCCTTTGCCTCACTAACCCATAGGGGAGAGATTGGAGACAGCATGGCCTCCACTGGGCACCTCACACCCCTGAAGGGAAATCAGGGGATCTGGGGAAACCCAGTCATGAGGTGAGGTCTGACCAGTCACTTGACTGCTTGGTCTCATCCCTGAAAGCCATGGAGACTGGGAGTGTGGAGAGCCAGGGAGGGCTGCTCAGAGCTGGGAGCATGGCGGGGAGGAGACCGCTCCAGTGGGGAGTGGTGAGCATGGAAGATGCATACCACCGAGGCAAGGGTACACAGCCTTTATTGGGAACACACAGCGGGCATAGCAGAGGCAGTTGGGACCCACAGAGCAGATAAGGTGGGAGGACAGGGAGTGTGGACCGAGAGGGTCCCCAGAGCTCCTGGGAGAGGTCAAGCAAAGAGGCAGAAGGGTCTGGCCTCTTCCAAGAGTCAGCGGAGACCCAGGTAGCAATGGCCACAGGCACCAGCCAGAACCATGAGTACCAAGGATCAGCACTCATACCCCAGCCAATAGCCCATCTACTGTGTCCCGGCTCCAGCACCTGCTTGCATGCCTCCAAGATGGGGGCCGCTAAGAGAGCTCCCATCCTCAGGTCTTGGGGCCTCTGCTCCCGGGGCCAATGGCTCTGGTGGCTCTGGTGGCTCTGCTGCAGAAGGGAAATGTTGTGAGATGTCTCTGCCCAAGGCCAAAACACAGGGCTGACTTTGAGACAGGGGTCAGGGCCCAGCTGAGGTGCCCTCGGCTGATGCCCGGCCCCTCCTCTAAGGGGGCCTCTCGACCTGTACAGTGTGAAGAGGAAACGAGGCTTAGGAAGAACTGATCCTACTGCTAACTGTACCTCAGTTGCCTTGTCAGTTTGGTGAGTCGGTTGTCACTGCTGACCTCAGAGGTCAGTGTCCTGTGTCGCACCCTGCCACCTCCAGCTGTCTTCAAACAATCAACCATCGTAACTGCCCCCCAAGCCTTCCCTACCCTCCCCCAGCTCCACCAGAGTGACCAGGAAATGAGAGACGCTGAGGCAGCAGGACAAAATGCTGACCAGTGAGCTGGAAAGGCCCGACTCCTCAGCAGAGACACCAGTGTCTCCTGCTTAGGACTCTGGGTCCCTCTATCCAGCGCTCCCAGGCAGAATACCCTTCACTAAACTGCCCCCACTCCACTCTACAGCCCTCGGTCTCCCAGCACAGGCAGGCTGGTGGGGGGGTGGGGGGGTAGTTCAACCAAGTTCATCTCAACCAAGCCTTTAAACAGTAGCAATTGCTCAACAGATAATCTAAAACGAGACCTGCCTTATATATCTTCCTTTACTGTCCACCCCTGAAGCTAATCCCCCAGGAACTGGGGTGGCTTACAGAGCCAGCGACCCCCCACTCCCAAATCAAGCCCTCATCCTGAGGACCTCTGGGCATCCTGGGACCACACCAGGCTGATGGCAGGTCTTTCTTGAGTATTCACCTCCTGACACAAGCAAAGGGCACTGTGGCCAGCAGGCAGCAAACACTTGCTGGGTTCCCCAGGGTGGCTGAGTCTGTCATCTTAGTCTTCCTGTCCCTGCAGGAAGTGTGATAGCTGGTTGCTTGGATCTCAGTCTCTCTTGTCCCTCTCTTGGTCTCTGCCAGTCTTTCCACTACAATGAAGCAGAGAAGGTGGGTGCCCATGGTCTGTCCATCTACCTACAGGGCCCTGACCAGGCCTCTGTCATCTACAGCAGCAGTGACAGTGACTAGTCCAGCTTCTAGATTATGGAGCCATGGAATCTTCCTTCTGTGAGCCGTGATACCTGCACAAGGAGAGGAAATGGGACTTGGTGGGGGCCTCTGGCCAAGCTGAGCACAGGCTGAGCAGCTAGAAGAATGTCCCCCAGAATTCATGGGAAGGAGGTCCAGGCAGTGGAGAGGGCAGGTGGGCCAGAGGAGGGGCAGCCGCAAGGTGCCCCATCACAGCTGGCTAAACACCACAGAGGCCTTGAGGTTGGCGGGCTCAACACCTTCCCCAAAAGTGATGAGGAAGTACATGACCTTGCGGATCTTGGCCAGATCCGACAGGCGCTCCCCGAACTCCAGGGCATCGGCCTCATTCCAATCCATGACATCTGAGTCTTCCTTGCGCCAGAAGATGGCAGCGGGGTCCAGCAGCTGGCGCGTCATGAGGTTGGTAAGGTCAGGTGTCCAGTTCTGCGAGGTGCCAGTGATGGTGACCTTGCCCGGCTTGTCCAGCAGGACGTTCCAGCGCTCAAACTGCAGCTTCTGCTGCTGGGTGAAGTCAAGGCGGTACACAGACTCAGTTGGCCACAGCAGCTTCTCACCATCCTGGCGCTTTCCCCCGCGCTGCTTCAGGCTTTCCACACGCAGCCTCATCTGCTTGGTCAGGTCCTGGTCCAGGACCAGTGGCATGTCCAGCTGCTGCTGCTGCTGTGCCCTGTCCTCCGCCATGGTCAAGTGCTGCTGCGGTTGCTGCTGCTCCCTCCAACGTCAAGGAACCAAGTGTACAGGAGCCTCAGATGCCAGGAGAAGAGGCCACTCTGAGGGCCCGCCTCCCCTGTCCCCCCCCTCGTCACCACTGGCCCTTCCCAGTGCCACTCAGTTCTCAAAATGGAGTGTGTGTCCCCAACTGCCTCCTCTCCCTTCCTCGCAGGAATGGAAACGCAGATGCTGCGGCAGGCAGGCAGGAGGGTGACGGGTTCCTTGGGGACCAGAGTGCTGATGTCAACTGCTGTGGCAACCACCTTGACTACCTGGCTGGGCTGGGAGCTGGCTTGTTTGAGGAGGGAGGGAGGGAAGGAAAAAGGGAGGGAATACTCTACAGGGCAGTGGGGAAGGAGGTGGGGCGCACGCACCTGCTGCAGACACCAGGGCAGGTGAGCGAGGACAGGACTAGACAGGGGCTGCCTGATTGCCTATCTGTAGTCATCCAAGCCAACTTGGGGCCATCTTGACCCTGCCCGCCCTCACTCTCCCATACTCAATCATTAAGGCCTGTAAGTCTCTTCCAGAATGCCCTGGGGAACCTTCCCCTCCATGTCCACGGCCAGGACCCAGCACAGCAGCCATCATCTCCCACCTGGACCTGAGGTTGACATCTTAATCACCACAGGATTTGGTGTCCTGAGTCCTTGGTGTGAAGGTCTCTGATGCAACCTGAGTCTTTCCATCATAGCTACCTCACAGGCTGCTGATTCCAGGGCAGTGCAATTTTTTTTTTTTTTTGTGGGGTCTTGCACATCCTTAAGCCACGCCCCCAGCCCTTTTGTGTTTGAAACAAGGTTTCACTACTTTTTGCCTGGACTAGCCTGGAACTCCAATCCTCCTGCCTCTGCCTCCCGAGTAGCTGGGATTACAGATATGAGCCACCATGCCCAGCTCCAATACTATGTTTGAAGACCACCCACCGAGCTGAGTCTGGCTCTGGGCTTGCCTCATCCTACACTACACAGCCACAGGACCAGGTCTCGCTTCTGCCAACATGACACTATCCATTCCACCTGCATTGATCCTCTGCCTTCCCCAGGAAACCTGAAGCAGAGGAAGAATCTGACAAATGTCTCTATCCCCAGCGCCCAGTGGGAGGCAGGAGCCCAGCTAATATATGTGGACAAATGGCAGAACTGGAGAACATGACTGCAGATGTGGGGCAAGGAGGGAGAGAAAGACTGCTGCCACAACATGCCACACACAGAGAAAAGAGCAGAGGCTAGGCCAAGATGTAATAACTGAAAACACTCTGAGGGTCTAGTGAGCCACCAGCACAGTCCACTGCTGGATGGAAGCCAAGCAAATCAGTGATCTCTTGGGTTTTGTAAACACTGGTGGGGGCACCAAGGAAGATAGGTACCTGGTCCTGTTAAAACAATACCTCGGGCTGCAGGTGTAGCAGCCCCCAGTGGGTTCTATCTATCAGACTTTTTGCCACTGTGACAAAATACCTGGGAAAAACAACCTAAAAGAGGAAGGATTTATTTTGGCTCATGGTTTCAGAGCTTTCAGGCCATGGTCAGCTGGCTCCATTACTTTGGGCCTGAGGCAAGACAAAATGTCATGGCAGAGGAAGCATGGGGCAGAAGCTGCTCGCCTCAGGGTGGCTGGAAAGCAGAAAGATGAACAGACGGGAGAGGGGAGGGAACAAGATATGCCCTTGAAGACACCCCCTAGTGACCTACTTCTTCCAACCAGGCTCACCTCCTAATGTTTCCATCACCTCCAATACTGCCATCGAACCCTGACTCTACCAATGGATTACCTCATGCATGGAGGCAGAGCTCTCTAGACCCAACTACTTCCAAAAGCCCCCCCCTTGGAATACTGCTTGCATCAGGGACCAAACCTTCAATGAACCCTTTGGAGGCATCTCATACCCAAACCGTAACAGTGGTATACCACTTGCCTAGCATGAATGAGGCTCTGGGTTCAATTCCCAGTGCCACAAAAAGCAAAAGAATGAACTCATAAATAAATAAAACCACTTCAAGCCCTGGGGTCAGTTCTGGGGGCCGTTGGACCAACTTGAGAGAGATTTAGTTAAACTGCCTGACCACAGAACCTTTTCCTTTGCAGCTGGAGGGGCAGGGGACCTGGGGACAATGTAGCTGGGGAGCTATTTCTTCTTCCATGAAAAGGAGCAGCTTCTATCTTTCCCAGCACTAATATTTCTATGTTTGCTTAAAGGGTTGTGTGTGTGTGTGTGTGTGTGTGTGTGTGTATGTTGCTCTGGATTAAACCCAGGGCCTTTGCACATGCTAAGCAAATGCTCTATCCCTGAGCTACACCTCCAACTTGTTTGTTTAGTTTCTGTCTGAGATGTCTCCCACTAGACTTGAAGTCCTGAGAGGACAGGGACTGTGCCTATTTTATTTATCACTCTAAGCTAGCACATAGGAGGCCCTCAGAAATGCTGAGTAAGGAAGTGTGACTCAAGTGCTCGAGTGCCTGTTTTGTCAGTACAAAGCCCTGAGTTCAAACCCCAGTCTCACCAAAAAGAAAAAATATATAATAATAATAAAAATAAATAAATAAATGCATTTTAAGGGCTGGTGGAGTGGCTCAAATGGTAGAGTGCCTTCATGGCAAGAGTGAGACCCTGAGTTCAAACCACAGTGCTGTCAAAAAAAAAAAAAAGAAGAAGAAGAAGAAATGCTGAGTGAGTTTCAGCAGAAATGCCAAATAATATACAAATGAACAACACTAACAAGAAAGCAGCTGAGCCCGGCGCTGGTGGCTCACACCTGTAATCCAAGCTACTTGGGAGGCTGAGATCAGGTGGTTCGAGGCCAGCCCAGGCAAATAGTTTGTGAGACCTTATGTCGAAAACACCCAGCTGGTGGAGTGGCTCAAGTGGTAGAGCTCCTGCCTAGCCAGAGTGAGGCCCTGAGTTCAAACCCCAGTACCACAAAAGGAATAGAAAAAAAGACAGCCGCTGATAGATGGGCATGGTCTCCAGGCCAACAACAAGAGGAAGCTGGGTAGGTGGGGCTAGAACATGGGGCACTGGGGGCACAGGGGCACAAAAGGAAGCTCAGGGACAGGTGTGTGCTGGAGTTGGGGAAGGAGCAGCAGCCTGGCAGGTGAGGCCAGAGATCCTCTGACTGGAAACCCAGAGTCAGGGAGAATAGTTCTAGGCCCCGGCTGTGGAGATGGGAACAAGTGACCTAGGGGGCTGAGGGTGAAAGCTGATGGAGATGAGACCAAGAACTGAGGCCAGGGTGATGGGGCAAGGGGCAGAGGGCAGGTGTTAGCTATGCACACCAGTGATCCCCAGGAATACAGTGGTTCTTAAAGGTGTCAGGCCCTTTGTGCCCAGGTGACAGTCCAGGATGGCAAAGCACACAGTCGTCTAGCAGTACAGTCTGCAAGCATACCAGGGGAAGGGGACCCCCTGCTTCTGGATCCTGAAGGATGGGGTCAGTTTCTACTGAGGAAGACCCAACTGGGCAGAGGGGTTTGCCCTTCAGGAGGTTGAGTGTGAATGACCTTGTGATGGACATCACAGACAGGCAGGGGCAGGCCAGTGGGGGAGGGGCCGGAGGAAGGTTGCATGCTGTGGATGGATACAGGTTGAATCCAACCCACAGGTGTCCACAGACCTCTGCTCAGTGCCAGACACTTGGGAGAACCCGCCAAAGGCTGGACATAGAGAAAATTCGGGTGGGAAAAGCAGGCCCCATATCTGCATACCTGATTGCAAAATTATACATAAAAACAAACAAACAAAACCCTCCATAACCCCAAATGGAAGAAGACAGGAAGGAAATACAGAAGCCCCTAATCCTGGCTGTCCCTGGGCAGTGAAGGCCACTTAGACTTTTTGTATCTTTTTGAGTCTTTTGTCCCCAGGATGTACTGTGATGCAGACATGTTTAGTGCTCTGTTAATGTGTGTCAAATGAACTGCTTAGGAACTGAGGACCAGACCTGCTCACATTACAGGGTGGGGACAGAGCAGGAAATGATTGAAATGTAACTAAGAGGGAGCCTGGCCCTGCCCCAGCCCTGGCCACCCCAGCCCTGGCCACCCACAGCCTGGACTCTGACCACTTGCACACTTTCTTCCAGCCTGTGGGCCTGGCTGTTCCTCCCCAGTCTAGCACAGGGGGCTCAGGGCAGACAGCAGGCCTGTCTCCTGCTGGGGGTGGGAGGAAAGGGGGGCTACACCAGGTTCTGGGGAGGCAGCTCACACAGGACCCTGGGTCTGGTCTAAGCCAGGCCTGACAACAAGTGCTTGACCCAGCTGTCACATCCCGATTGCAGGTTCACAGAACTTGCCCACCTGAAGTCCACTGCCCTGCCTTTGGGGAACATGCATTGAGTCAGGGAGGGCCACCGCCATAAGGAACAGGTGCGGTGCTGGGGGTGCAGATGTGACTCCTTCATGCACAGGCTTGTCCTCCTCCCATGACCCTAGGGTCACTGGAAAGTCAGGTCTACACTGAAGTCAAAGAAGGAATGTAACTGGCTCCAGGTCAGTGACTAGCAAGGAAATCAGTTTGAATCAGTCCCAGGTCTGGCTGGCTTTTAATCCTATGCCTGCTAGCCCCAGGCCACCTCAAGGACTAGGAGTAAAGGAGTGACTTCCTGGAGGAGGGACACGTGTGACAGGTGTGTCCCAACACACACCTATAGTGGAGGCTCAACATCTGGGTTGGAAGCAGAGCTAAACACCCTGGCCCCTCCACTGCCCTTCCAGGGAGAAAACAGGGTGGGGCAGGGAGGCCCTGCAGGGCAACAGGCCCAGAAAGTGAGGGGTGACAACAAACAGGGCCCAGTCAGCAGGGATGTAAGGCACAGTAATGAGCTCCCCAGGGCCTCCTTCTGGGACCCAGGGACCGTCACCACAGCAGCACCCGGAGGCAGAGTGCAATTAGCCAAGAGCACCCAGCCCTGTCCCAGCCTCCTCAGGGACCCGAGCTACTGGGATCAGCTTGGGAGACCACCTGGGCCAGGGTCCCAGTCCCCCATAAGAGGAACATTCACCTGAGATAAAAACAGGCCTGCTGAAGGTGCCCAACACATGGGCAGGCTCTTGCCTAGAGCCCTGGGCCAGCTAGATGGGGAGCTGTGTGGGGCACCTGCACCAGGCTGGGGCAGGGTCATAGAGAGCCAGGTTCCTCCCTGCAAATGCATAGACAGCCCTGGTCAGGCTCTGGCCACCTGAGGCCTGGGAGGAGCAGGCAGCAAAGCCAGCTGTGGAGCTGACTGACAGCTCCACAACAACCGGGGCAGACCCTCTGCAGCGCTCTCTGTGCTGGCCCCACCAGGCTCCATGGCAAGCTGTACGCTGGGCCAGCTCTGCCCATAGGGAACTCACCTCAAGAGGGGAGATGGCAGATAAACAGGTAATTACAGGGCCAGTCCAGGGGTTCCCATGTGCCACATCCAGCCCCAGGCTGGGCCCTGGATAGCTGCAGGTGTGGCTTGGAGGTGGGGGCTAGGAGGCCCACAGGTGTCGGGGTCCCAAGCATGGTTCTGAAGCCTCCTAGCTTATGTACCCCATGAGCACCCACATCTAGACACTGCAGCACAGGGCTCTGCCAGGGCACAGCTGTCCAAACCTTACAGGACCTTTGGCAGCTGGGCCCCAGTGGTGCCACTGTGGAGCTATGATAGACCACACCCTGTTTGGAAGAAACAGTCCTAGCCTTGGCAGAGGTCACAGCTCCCTCTGATGACTGAGAAGGATGAAGGGAGTTCCCCTGCTCCTTGCGCCCTGCATCACGGGGAACACCCCTGTGTTATAGGAATATTACTTCTTCTCACACTGGCCACTGTTCACTATTCACTGAGCGCCACACGGATCGAGGCCCTATAAGAAGTGCACCTCATCTTCCCTCAAGCCTCCTTCCAGTTGCAAAGGCTGGGGCTCAAACCTGAGCCGAGGAGATTCAAAGGCCTGTGCTCTTATGCTCTGCCACCAGTTCCGGTGAAGGGAGAAAGGAGTGCAGAGAAGGGACAGAGATGGAAACTTGTGTGTGCCAGGATGGAAACTCAGGCCTCCCCTGCAACCTCATCAATAATTCTTCAAGTTCAGCCTCCACCTCAGCCTCCCCACCTCCTCAGAAAGACAGCTATCTATGAGCACTGGCAACCTCAATGCCAAGTTCTGCCATGAAAGCCCCGGTAGCAGGGCCAGGGCCCATTCTTTCCCACCCCAAACTTTGGCCTTGGTACAGAACACCAGCAGCATGGACCAGGAATCACAAAGCTGGGATTGTGTGGACGAGTCCTGCTGAACAACTGAGAAAAGCGAGGCCCAGAGAAGGACAGCAACTGAACCACTTTACACAGCAGGTTACTGAGGCCTATGAGTGACACAGGTGGCTTCCACATTTTATTTCACAGGGGTATATTCTGCTCCAGGGCACTGGGGTCACAACAGTAAGGAGGGGACATATCAGAATAACCTTGGGAGATACAGACTCCCACACCTGCCCACCATGGCTCCTCAGCTGATAGTGAGAAGACAAACCTGACGCTAGACCCCACCCCAGCCTCAGGTGTGGACCACACCTATGCCAACATAATCCAGCAGCCCCACTCACCCCAGGCCTTACCTTTTGCCACAGCGACTCACGGGAGGCAAGGGACGAGCAGGCCGCCACAAACCAGCAGTTGCCCACCTGGCCCTGGTGCAGGTCATGGGAGCTGATGCCATCCACAAAAAGGCGGGGGTCCTCACAGATGTCCTACAGAGAGAGTGAGGACAACATGAAGACCTAGGGGCACAGGCTGCCTACTCTGCAGGCTAGGGGGCCTATGTGGCCCATCTGCTCCCCAAATCTAGTTTCTCCCAGGTCCTTCCTGGAATGCCTCTCCATCCCCTGGCTGTACAGAGCTCTTCCACCAAAAGTGTGACAGAAAATGAAGGTCATGGAAGGACCTCAGGGTGTTGGACCCTGGGCTACCACCTTGTTCCTGTCCTCAGTGTCCTCCTTCCACCCCACCAGCCAGCCCTGCAGGAGCCACAGTCACAATGCAGTGGTGTAAGGATGTGGGGATGAGACAAACACCAAAATGACCCATGGTGAGAACAAAGGGAGGAGAGATTAGGAGCTGTTGGATCAGGCCCCACGTGGCACATCCCTCGTGCTGATCCACACAAAGTCTGAGAAGTATAGGGTTCCTATTCCATTTTATGGTTAAGGACTGGAGGTTCAGACAGGGGCAATGACTTGTCAAAGGCACACAGCACACAACTGCCCAGTTTTCCATGGACACTGGTCAGCACAGCCAGCGGGGCTGCTCCATAGAGCATGTCAGGCTGGGGCAGCCACTGGGCAGAGAAATGACTTGTGTCCACTTGGCAGCTCTTTGGTCCAGCTCCTAGTTCCCGGAAGCTTCATACTCTGCCTGTTGGGAGATAACCCACGGGGTGGGCTCCAATCCCTGGGATGGACATTGCCTAGGAGCTTGGGCCTGGGCTTCCCACCATTCTGGGCTTTGGGGTTTCCTTTAAGGTCCCAAAACAGTGCTGTGGAGTGAGGAAAAACAGCTCTGGCCTCAGCATCAAGAGACACAACCTGAAAGGGTGAACCTGCTGCCTCCCATTGCAGCCAGCCTCCTGCCCAGGTGGGAGCTGCCAGCTGGCTTGGTGTCTGAGGGCAGTGGACAGCGCTTGAAGGCCTCAGTCCAGGGAGCAGAGCTGAGCACAGCCACACAGCCCACATGGACCCTGCACACCAGGGCTGCAGCAGGGCTGCGAGTGAGGGGGGTCCCTGCCCTGCCCTGTCCAGGTCTGCTCAGGGCTGCATGTGCTGCCTGTGGCCAGCAGGCCTACCTAGGCACTCCTCCTGTCCACCAGCATCTTGCTCCAGAGCTGAAAGGGAAGACTGCGCCCTAACTTGGGAGTGCAGTGGGGGGTGGGGAAGAGGGGCACTGAGAGGTGGGTTATGTGCCCATTCCACAGATGACAGATTGAATACCATGCCCCATCCACACAGTGGGGGCAAGAAGACAGGGGCATCTGCCAGCTTCAGCCTCAGCTGGTTCGCACCTGAGCTACTACCCAGTCACAAGGCAGCCAAAGCGCTTCTGCAGGCAACCAGCAGAGGGAGCTCCAGTTCCTGCTCCCAGCTTCACTGTCCGCAACCTTGACCAGTGCTCCACCTCTCTTTGCCAGGTTCCTTACATGTGCAAATGAGTCAGGTTATTATTCCTGCTTGGCTGTGTAAGGCTACACTTAGCAGGGGGAAATGGGACAAAGAGACCTCAGTTTCCGCTGGTGTTTGAAACTCATCTGCCCCCACCAAACAGTTACAGGAAAAGGGCTATAACTTCCCAGAGGGCGTGAACGGCTTCTGAGACCCCACTCCACCTTCCAGCTGGGACAGCAGGGTGGTCCAGGGCCAAGCTATGTGGTGGCTCCCCCATAGCACAAGTCTAGGTCTTATTATCCCAGGTGGAGGAAACCTAGCCTTCTCTGGTCTCCCAGGCAACGCACGCTGTGGGCACAGACGCTGAGGCAGGAAGACCAGCCAGGCTTGCCCTCACTCCTTATCTTATCTCCCAGCCACTCTGAGCTGTGACTTAGCATTTGCCCCGGAGGCCCAGCAAGGAGCAGGATGGGGTCAACAGCTAGAGGACTTCACAAGATGTTGCCAGGCTGGTGTCACCAGGGTTGCAGAGGGAGGTGACTCTGAGGTGCCCCTCCACTTCAGGTCCTCCCGGTCAGTGCCCCATGACAAGACAGGACACTCTCCTTCACAGAAGAGGAGGCTGAGTTCAGGAGGGAGAGGAGAGTGTGGCCCAAGGTCACCAGCAAGTGACAGAACTGATGGAACAGAAGAGGATGGGCTCCGGACTAGACCTCCCCACCCACTGTGCAGGGGTGCAGAGTGACAGTGTAGCGCTCAGGACAGAATTGCATGGGGTCTGCTGAGTACAGACAGACCTGTCCCAGTGTGGTCAACATGCCTCTAAGATACCTCAGCACCTTGGCCTCCGCAGCGCTCCAAGCTGAGAGACCAGATGACCAGATCAGGCCGGCCCCTAAGCCACCTTCCTCCTGGCCCAGCAGGAAATTCAGGTTTCCAGTCCCAGTGCACAACCAGGAATATAACAGGCAGCTGGAAGTCCTCACACAGGCCTCTGCAGGGCTCCTCACCAGCACCCCAGTCACCCCTCCTGGACCCCCCAGATCACAGAAGGAAATGAGCAGGATCTCAGCCGGGGCAAGAAGACAGGAGCAATCTAGGCCTGTGGTCCGCCTGCCCCATCAACAGCAGACTCTTCTCCCCTCCCCCTCCCTATCTCCACCCACCCCAACTCCACCCTGCAAGCCCCTCCTCTGACAGTACTGGGGGGCCCACTTGGGGCTCCTTTGGGGACCCAATGTTCAGCATCCCTAGGAGTAGAGTCTTCTCCAGGAAAGATATGAGCCCCAGGGAAGACCAGGCTGCCCTAGAGGAATTCCGGGGGTGGGGGGGTTCCCAAACTGACATCTGTTTGTAGGCCCCTCCTGCGCTCTTCTTCATCTTAACAAGGATTCCCCAGGCTGATCTTCAGGATGGGGGAGCAGAGTGCTTTATGGGGGCCAGAGAGAGGAGGCTCCTCTCCATGCCCTGAGGCTCCCCTGACCTCCCAGGCCTGGATGACTCCCCAGTGCCTCTTAGCTCCCCACCAGGCTGGGAGGGAGGCCAGCCATGTTTACTGTACTGGAAAGAACGAAAGACAATGAGCCTGCAGGGGTTGGGGCCCACTGGCAGGTGCCCTGGGTGCAGACTGAAGAGGACAAGGCCTGTCCCACCTGCAGAGTCCACAAGAAGAGGGGAGGCAGGCTGCTCTGGGTTCCCAACACAGAGCTGGCAAGGAGAAAGTAGGTTGGGGAGAGGGGGAAGGTTGTCACTGCTTGCCCTGTATCTGATACCTCAGGTACCCCAACTCCTTTCACTTCCCAGAAACCACAATCAGCAAGTATTATTCTCCCCACTTTCATGTGAGGAAACCAACGAGGACCAGTGACTTGTTCAAGGTCACACCTCATCAGTAAGCTAGAGCTGAGGCAGGAGACAAATCTGTCTCACTCAAAAATTAAGACTTCTCATTCCATTTTAGGAGAAAGGCAGAGCAGTAGGAAGGCTAGGAGGCAAGGAGGCAGGGAGGCAGGGAGGTTGGGAGGCAGGGAGGCTGGGAGGCAAGGAAGACAGAAGGAGAGTAGGAAGCTAGGAAGCAGGAGGGTATGAGACCAGGAGGTAGGCAGGAGGGAGACTGGCTGAAGAGAATCTCCAAGAACAGAATGACCAACTTAGAGAGAAGGAGCTGGAGAGTGGGACTAGAGTGACAAAGTGTCCTCTGGGCTTCCCATTCTGTAAACAATCACAGGACCCAGGAAGAAGGACTCCATAGAAATACAACTGCCTCAGGCCAGTTTCTGGGAGTTAATGGTCAGGAGCTGGACACACTCCACCCCTGACCAAGGCAGCCTAACCTTCTGCTCCACAGCCTCCATCCTGTGGGTGGAGAGGGGCCTGCAGTCTTCATCATACCACCCACAGGGGCTCACCCCTCCTCCACCATGCTTTGCCCTGTGGGGTTCAGGCCTTGACCTGCCTCCTGAGAACTGAACTCCTACTGTTACTCCCTGGGCCCCACTCACACGCCACCCTCCACATCCACTCCCGCCTGCCCCACCCCCAACCACAGCTGGGGCTCTGCCCCCTCTTTGGCCAGGGCTAGGAGGGCTGTACTGGAAAGGTGCCAGGAAAGCAATGAAGGAGAAGAGGTGTGGTAGTTGTCCTGAGTCACGAGCTGCCATGGAGAAAGGGCTCCCAGAGGGCAATGACGCCTAAGGTCACGCAGCAGGGGCACACCCAGACTCAGTCCCAGAGTCCACAATCCAGGTGACAGCCCAGAGCAGGCAAGAAGAAGGCCAGGGCAAGGGCAGCAAGGGTAGAGCAAGAGGAGGCAAAGAGCTCAAGTGTCCACCCTCCTCCACACAAGTCTCACAAAGGCCCTTTCACGCTGGCCTCCCGCCCCACTCTGACAAAGGGGAGGGAGGGTATAGGAGTGTAGGGGCAAGAGGCTGAAATCCTGTGGCAGCCTGGGATGGTTGCCATCAAGAGTCTGCCAGAGAAACAAGGCAGGGGTCTGAGGTTCTGTTGAGCTCCTGGGGCCGGGGCCAAAGGACTGGGAAACCCTCCACCTAGTGCCAGAAGGGAGTCTGGGAACAGGGCTCTGAGGTCCAGCCTCCCTCTGCTGGTGGCTCATGGGCCGTCCCAGCCTTGGTGTCCCTCCCTCTCCAATGGCCGTCCACACCAATGCACAGGAGAGGAACTAAACACTAAATTTCATTTTCCCAAAACGTCCAGGGGCCGGAAGACCTCCGTAAAATGAAAATTTGTGCACAATGTGGAAAATCAGGCCTTGAATGACTCCTGGTGCCCTTGGCAAGGGGCAAGGGTGGAGCCCCTCCTGGGTACATCAGCCCTCGACAGACCTGCAGGCAAGCACACCAAGCCCTTCTCCCCACCTGCTCTGTGCCCGGCTGCCCAGCTGTGGCCAGGGGAGCCATTCGGTGCCTCCCACACAGGCCTCTTCACTCCGAGGCTTGGAGGTGCCTTGTCTGAGAAGTGGGCAGCGGGAGTGACCTTCTTGGTTGAGTGACCCAGTAAATCAGTCCCTTCTGATAATCGCCTCTCACAGTGTCACCAGCATAGTCATGGACCCTGGGGAGGGCCTGGGCAGTGCCCCACCCCCACCCCAAACCTCCCCGTCTCCTAGGCCCCAGCACTCACCCAGTGGAACCTCTCCCTGGCCCACCCTCACACACAGGAATGGGAGTTCGAGAAGATGAAGTTCCACCATGTGGCCACACACTTCTGTTTAGCACACTCCACCCTCAGGGCCCAAGGCCAGGAGTGGCCAAGAGAGGCCACCTAATTTCTTGTAGCCAACAGTCACAGTGAGGCCACTTCCACTTGGGTGGCAGATTTCAATCCTCACAACCATTACCTCTTTCTACCAATGTCATTACTGACTAATGTCCTAATAAACACTTCCACTTATGCAGGAAGTGACCATTTCAACCAAATCGTTAGGAAAATAATCAGGAAAGTAAACTCCCCACACTTGAACATCTGTCTACATTTAACTAACCAGAGGTCACGTTCACATCACCTCATGTTCATCCCCAAAAGGACCCTGGGAGAGAATATGGCAGCCAAGTTACTATCCAGCCTTCCTTTATGGGCCTAGCTGGGGCAGTGACCACAGGCCCCGCTCAGTCTCCTGGCTCTAGCCCAGGTCAGATCCCACAGCAAAAGGCCCAACATTGCTCCACTGTCTCAGTGGAGTGGGGACAGTGGAGTGGGGGGCATCCCAATGTCCCCGCAGGCTCAGCCCATGGGCACATTTGGCCTGCTTGCCCTGGCTCCAGCCAGGACCGGACACTGACCTTGGGCCGCTTCCACCTGACGGTGGGCCCCGGGGCACCCTTGTAGTAGAGGGAGTCATCAGTGGCAGGAAAGTGGGGGTCCTCGAAGAGCACCTTCCTGCGCAGACAGGCCCGCTTCAGGGACGAGTAGTTCTGGTCCTCATAGGACTTCACACACAGAGAACATGGTGGCTGCTGCCTCAGGAAAAAGAGGCAGAACACCTAGAGAACAGGAATCAGGAAAGACCATCACTCTCAGATCACCTGGAGTCCCTGACAGTCCCGTGTGCTCTCCTCCCAGCAGCATCACCCTAACATACAGGAAAAGAAAGGAAGCTCAGAGAGGGCGGAGGCCTGCCCAAGGTCACACAGCTGGTATGGGGCAGAGCAGTGACAGGAAACCACACTAGCCTGACTCTGCCACAGGCATCTATCCTTTCTGATGCCCAAAGGTGATACCAGGCCTGCAGGCCACCAGCACTGGGTGCTCAGGGCTGGCCCTGGCCACACCCACCTCCTGCTCTTCCTTTGTTTAACCAGCCAACCTTCCCCACACCTCCCTGGACTGAATCAAACAGGCGGCAACCCCGCAACCCTGTGGCTAAAGTAACACACACAGGAATCAGCTGTGTGCATCCTGACCTCTCTCCTCCTGATCCTCGCCTCTAGATGGGAGCAAAACATTTCTGTCCAGTGGGGGAAAGCCTTGTCACAGGCGCCTCCAGCTGTCACTCACACTCAGCCCCTCAGAACCCCCCAGTACCCTACCCTCTTCTGGGCAGCAGTGCTGGAACCAATGTCCGTAGGGAGCAGGTACCTGGGTCCTCCTTCCACTACCCAGGGGAGTAGGGGACCCCACATGGTGCCTTGTACCCACATGCTAACCGAATACAAGAGACCTTAACAGGACTGATGGGATCAGAGAAGGCCTCCAGGAGGGGAGGGCAGGCCTGGCAGGTCAAGAGCTGAGCATCTGAATGGCTGTCCCACTCAGGCCAACAGACAGAGCTCAACACCTGGCCATCTGCTCATCCTGGGGCCAGCTGGGGACAACACTGCAACCCCACCTGGGTACATGCTTGCAGTTTCCCAGGCCAGCCTTGAGGGACACTGAGGTATGGTGAATTGGCTTCTGGGGCAAAGTTTCGTGGGATTGATGTGGATGCCAATCTGCCTGCACCACTTACCTGCTGGATGACCTTGGACAAGTCACTCAACCTCTCTGAGCCCCCAGCGTCTTGACCCTAGGATGGGAATACCACTGCTCCAATGGTGGTAAGACCAAAGCCTAGGCAGTCTGCTCTGCAGCCCAGAAGGGCAGAGGACGTACAGCCAAGTGGCTGAGCCACCTCTCATTCCCAGGGAAACTCCATTTCCCTGGCACCTACATGCAAGCCCTTCTGCCAGAGGTCTGTGTCTGGTATTCATAAACAGTGCTGGGTGACACTGTTGCCATTTTTCAGGGAGTACTGATGTTCAGCCAGCACTTGTCCAACTTCCTGGGGGAGAAGTCTGGACTCGAACCCAGGTCTTCACACTTGGGACACCCTACCCTGGCCCCACGGTCCTGCCATGGGGGGTAAGGGTTGTACACTGAGCACACTCCCCACATCGCCCCTGTCTCAGCAATGGCCTTGCAAGGAAGGGGAAGAGGGGGAAGTTTCCAGAACAGGAAGGAAATAGGGGGAAGGAAGCTGGGCAGAGTGTGGACATGGAAGGACAGCAGGAGGAGGGCCCTCATCCCTCTCAGCTGAGGGGCTGAGAGCTGGCTTGTGCCCTGCTCTGTGCCCGCACCCACCTTTATCTTCTGCCCTCACATCCATGCAGGGCTACTGTGTGACCTCAGGCCAACCACTTAACCGCTCTGGCCTCCCCTCTGCCCCAGGAGGCCAACAGCCCCGCCCTCCTTGTCCTCCCCCAGACTTGGAAGGTGAAGGGGGCCTGGAGAGCCCTCTGGCCCATGTGCACCTCGAAGAGTCATTAGCACCATCAGTGCCGCGGTTTCTAGCAGCTGCAGCACAGGAAGCAATTTAAGCATGGCGAATTAGATCGGAGAAGCTGAAGTAGAAGCCAGAAACCAGCTCTTGTGTTTCCAGTATTTCATCAGGGCCCTGAGGGCCCAGAGAGGGGAAGCAGGTGGACAGAGGTCACACAGCCAGGCCACAAAGGGGCCAGCATCACGGAAGGGTTGGGAGGCTGACAAGGGAAAGCTCGGCCAGGTAGGGCTGGGGCAACAGGCTGACGCACCTCAGCCATCTCTCCACTTCGCCTCTGGCTACCAAGCTCACCCTGGCCCACTTACACCAGCTCTTCTGGGCCCTGGCCTTTGCACAGTCCTCTAGCCTCCTTCAAAGGGATCACCTCCAGCAGCATCCACTGGGCCATCACCTCCTGAGGCCATGGTCTGCAGCCTCTTCCTGTAGCTCAGGGACAGTCAAAGAAAGCCCCAGACAAACCAGGAGCCAGGAAAGCTGGCTTCCCACCCCTGTTGGACCTGAGCTTTGGGCATGGTCCTTCCTGTCCCTAAGTGATTGTGCACTATGGTAGAGGGAACTCGAACATGAGGTGTTCAGGACAGTCTGAGCTTCCCAGCTACCCGTGGCTGGTCCTCATGCCTTTCTCTGCCAGTCTCACCCCACATCCTCCCTCACAGCCTACACTCCACTGCTGTGAGCTCCATGCAGTTCCCCTAAAGCTGTTAACTCAGGGCCTTTGCACACGCTGTTCCTACCACAACCCACCCTCCCAGTCCTGGAGCCCATGGGAGGACAGCATGCATTGCACTGTGCCCAGCTGTGCACTCCTTATCCATCCCCCCAGCCCACCACACACCCTTCTGGGACAGGGCTGGTGTCCAGTGCCTCTCTGTATCCCCAGCTCCAATAGGGTGGGGCTGGGGTTTCAGAAACTGTGCTGATGGACCAATACAGGTGAGCATGGCAAGAACTCCATCATAGCTGGAAAGAAAAGTTCAAGAAGGGCAGGACTCCCAACAGAAGGGACAGCCACATTGGGAACCTCAGCCCCAGCACCCAGGTCAGCCAGACCAGACCTCCCTCTCCCTGTTGCTCTTCCTGATGGCTGGGTGCCAGCAGTGCCCACGCCCTACTGTCCTGGCCAAGGTGGCTGCATCCCTGGTGTTGTCTGTGGCATCAGCCCTTCTCCAGCTCCTGAGGCTTGTCCCCAGTGCCCACCTGAGCTGTGAGGACCTGTACAGGTCACGTCGCCTCTGGAGACTGCATGGTCCTTTTCTGGAAGTAGAAGACACAGAGCCAGAAATAGCCAAGACCATTGGCAGAGAAAAAGCTAGAAGACCTACACTATCAGTTAGTCTGTCTATTAGCCTATCACAGAGCTCTTGCCCCAGGGACAGTAGGGGGCGAGGGGAGTAGACAGGTCAGTGGAACAGGAGAGAACCACAAATGCAGGGGCAACTGGGTTATGACCAATTGTCTTTTTAATAAATGGCACTGGTGACTAACAATTTATATGGAAAAACACTGATCCTGAACCCCACCTCATACCACACACAAAAACTAATTCTATAGCTGGGAGCTGGGAGCTCACGCCTGTAATCCTAGCTACTTGGGAGACTGAGATCAAGGGGATCATGGTTCAAGGCCAGCCTGAACAAATAATTCTTGAGACCCTATCTCTAAAATAACCAGAGTAAAAAATGGACTGGAGGTGGAGCTCAAGTGGTAAAGCACCTGCTTTGCAAGTATGAAGCTTTTAGTTCAAATCCCAGTTCCACCAAAAACAACCAACCAAATTCAATGTAGATTGCAAGTCCAGCTGCAAGGTAAAACATTCATGCCTTTAAGAAGAAAATGGAGCATCCACGTGGCCAATAAATAGAGAAAAGGTATTCAGCTTCACTAATCATCAAGGAAATGAAAAATTAAAACCACAACAAGATACCAACAAGCATACCAAGAAAAAACAGACACGAAGTCCCAGGTAGAGGCTGGGGAGTAGCTCAGTGGTAGAGCACTTGCCTTGCATGCATAAGACCCTGAGTTCTCTCCCCAGCACCACACACACACACATATACACAAGTCCAAATGGAGCTCTTCCTCTTGGCGGTGGGAGTGTGAATTTGTAAACTGGTGCAATCACATTGCAAAGCAGTCTTGACTGTATCTGCTAAAGATCAACTAAAGACCAACGAGTCTCCTAAGAACAGAAACAAATGCTCGCACATGTTCACCAAAACACATGTGCAAGAATGTTTTTTGCAGCAGGATCCACTGAAAATAAGAAACAACCCACGTGTCCATCAGCAATATGTTGTATTTCCATAGAATGGACAACCAAACAATAACGAAAATGAGTAAACTGCTGCATGCACTCACACAAGCATGGGTCTGTAATTCCATTTAGATAAAACAATGGCCCTGATACCGAAGCCAGAAGAGAAAATTGCAGGCCAAATGTCCTTAATGAACACAGATGCAAGATCCTCACAAAATACCAGAAAACAGGGGGCTGGAGGCATGGCTCAAGTGCTAGAATACCTGCAGGCCAAATGCAAGGTCCTGAGTGCAAAACCCAGCACTGCCCGCCTGCCTCCCCAAAACCAGAATTCAACAGCATATTAAAAGGATCATCCATGATGATCAAGTGGTATTGATTCCTGGGAATCAGAGATCATTCAACATTCACAACTCAAGAAATAAATCATTAACAAAATGAAAGAGGGCAATGAGTGCTGGGTGTAGCTGAGTGCATGTGTAATCAGAGGCTTAGATCTATCTGTCAGGCCAACCAGGCAACAAGTTAGTGAGATCCCATCTCAGGCATGGTGGTGCACGCTGAAATCCCAACTACCCAGGAGGTGTTGATAAGAGAATTGAGATTTGAGGCCAGTCCTGGGCAAAAATGCCAGGTCTTATTTAAAAAATAACCAAAAAAGTAAAAAAGGCCTGGAGGGGCGGCAGGTGTGGGGGGTGGGGGGGCGGGGTTGCTCAAGTGGGAGAGCACCTGCCTAGCAAGCCACAAGGCCCCTAGTTCAAACCCAGTAACTTGAAAACAAACAAAACAGAGTTAAAGACATAAAGCATATGACATCTTGTTAGAGGAAAGCCATGTGATAAGATTACGCATCCTTCTGTAATAAAAGCATCAGAAAATTAAGAATAGCAGGAATGTACAAAAATCAGTAGTTTCCATACAAAAAACTACCCAAAAAAGAAGTCAAGAAAATCGCATTTATCATAGCT